TTTGTTAGGCCTGAGAGCCACGACAGAGGAGCTTGAATGCCCCCCACTAAGCACTTCCTGGGCCGGTGGGACCACCCAGAGGAAGAGCTCTCTCTTATTCTTGTCTTCGGACCCCCTTCCCCTTCCTTTAAAAAATAGCATTCATTTCTTTTGGCCTGGGTCATCGAGACATAGTATAGAATTCAAAAGGCCATATAGTCTTCCTTCCTGGCTTCCCAGCCCCAAAAGAGACCGCTCTCAGCCAGTGTCCTGTGTGTCTTAACCAGAGACATTCTACATGTGTGCGCATGCTTCGTGCACAAGCGTGATCACACACGCATGCCTGACGTGCCCTGTTTGTTTGCACACCTGTCATACACAGTGTTCTGCATCTTGTTATTTTCACCTCACAATAAGTACTGGAACTCATTCTGTACCAACACCGTCATCACTGTCATCATTCAGCTAATACCTCTCCAGCACTTCTTGTGTGCTGGGTATTCCTTTCTTTTCTTTTCTTTTTTTAAATAGACTCCACGCCCTGTGTGGGGCTTGAACTCGTGACCCTGAGATCAGATGCCCCATGTGTGCTGGGTATTGTTAAAAGTGCTTTACTTATATTACTCATTTACTCACAAAAGTCCTGTGAACTAAGTACTATTATTGTCTGCAGTTTGCAGATGAGTAAACTGAGGCATGGAGAAGTTAAGTTATATCTAAGGTCATTTAGAACTGTCTTACTCATTTTAATGGTTCCATGGCATTCTTTTGATTGGTTGTATTTTATTTTATTTTTTTAAAGATTTTTTATTTTATTTATTTGACAAAGAGAGAGCCCAAGCGGGGGGGGGGGGGTGCAGGAGAGGGAGAAGAAGGCTCCCCACTGAGCAGGGAGCCCGATGCGGGGCTCAATCCCAGGACTCTGGGATCATGACCTGAGTCGAAGGCAGACACTTGACCAACTGAGCCACCCAGGCGCCCTGATCGGTTGTATTTTAATTTCTTAAAACCAGTCCCCTGTTGGTGAGCTTTTAAAGTTTTCTTTTATTACTATTAACAAGGAATATTCTTATATACACATTTTTGTGCACTTAAGGGTATCTATAGGATAAATTCTAGCTGAATTGCCAGAGCAAAGGGTGCATCTGTTTAGATTTGCAGTATCGTCAGGGCACCTGGTGGCTCAGTCGTTAAGCGTCTGCCTTCGGCTCAGGTCATGGTCCCGGGGTCCTGGGATCAAGCCCCGCACTGGGCTCCTTGCTTGGCGGGAGGCCTGCTTCTCCTTCTCCCACTCCCCCTGCTTGTGTTCCTTCTCTCACTGTGTCTCTCTCTGTCAAATAAATAAATAAAAAATATTTTAAAAAATTTAGATTTGCAGTATTGTCAACTCATTCTCGTGGAGATGGTAACATTTTATATGCCCATTAAAACTGTACACGAATACCTATTTCCCCCATCCCTTGGCAGAAGTTGTCAACTTTTTTTGGGGGGGGGGGCGCCTGGGTGGCTCAGTTGGTTAAGCGACTGCTTTCGGCTCAGGTCATGATCCTGGAGTCCTGGGATCGAGTCCCGCATCGGGATCCCTGCTCAGCAGGGAGCCTGCTTCTCCCTCTGACCCTCCCCCTCTCATGTGCTCTCTCTCTCTCATTCTCTCTGTCTCAAATAAATAAATAAAATCTTAAAAAAAATTAAAAAAACACTTTTTTTTTTTTAAGATTTTATTTATTTATTTGACAGAGAGAGAGAGTACAGGCAGGGGGAGCAGCAGGGAGAGAGAGAAGCAGGCTCTCACAGGGAGCCCGAAGAGGGGCTCGATCCCAGGATTCCGGGATCATGACCTGAGCCAAAGGCAGATGCTTAAACAACTGAGCCACGCAGGCACCCCAGCTGTCAAACTGTTTAATTGTTGATAATCTGATAGGTTAGAAATGGTATTTCATTATCATTTTAATTTGCATTTTCCTTATGAAGAAATAGAGGAATTTTTCAGTTCATAGCTTCAAGAGCCATTTATGAGCAATGTGTTACACTGTTAGCTCATTTCTTTCTTGAGCTGGCAGTCTTTTCTTATTGATCAACAGGTGTTCTTTATATATTAAGAAAGTTTGTCTTGGGGCGCCTGGGTGGCTCAGTTGTTCAGCAATTGCCTTCGGCTCAGATCATGATCCCAGGGTCCTGGGATCGAGCCCCGCATCGGGCTCCCTGCTCAGTGGGGAGCCTGCTTCTTCCTCTCCCGCTCCCCTGCTTGTGTGCTCTCTCTCTGTCAAATAAATAAATAAAATCTAAAAAAAAAAAAAGTTTGTCCTATGGCTGTGATATACATTACACATAGCTCAACAATTTGTCATCATTCTTTTGATTATATATTTCTTTCCATGCATAGAGTTTTGATTTTATATGATCAGATTTTAAAATCTTTTATAATGTTTGGGTTTCATTTCATACTATTTTCTTGTCCCACTGTTTTCCTGCATTTTCATGCAATATACCTACTCTTTATTTTAGATATTTATTATTTTTTTATAAGATTTTATTTATTTGACAGAGAGAGACACAGCGAGAGAGGGAACACAAGCAGGGGGAGTGGGAGAGGGAGAAGCAGGCTTCCCGCGGAGCAGAGAGCCCGACGCGGGGCTCAATCCCAGGACCCTGGGATCATGACCTGAGCCAAAGGCAGACATTTAACGACTGAGCCACCCAGGCGCCCCTCTATTTTAGATATTTAAAACTTTGTTCCACAACCAAGGGATCAAACCTGGCATCACCAGAGATGGGGCGAACCAGGATTGGGTGCCTCCAGTGGGGTGTTGGCAACAGCTGTGATAGCTTCTTGCCAAACAGTTAGTCTTATTCTTAATTCTAGGGATTCTTAGGCAAATCTAGATTGTGGGATGTCCTAAAGACTACGTTCCTGGACTCTAAAAAATGTTCATGTCATGATAGACAAAGAAAAGCTGGTGAACCATTCCAGGCTAAGGGAGGTGAAAGAGCGTGGGGATTGAATGCACTTGAGATCCTCCATTGGATCCTGGATTGAAAACCAGTGATGGCCGGAGCGGGAAGCCTGCTTCTCCCTCTCCCGCTCCCCCTGCTTGTGTTCCCTCACTCGCTGTCTGTCTCTCTGTCAAATAAATAAATAAAATCTTTATTTAAAAATAAATAGATAAAATCTTTAAAAAAATTAAAGAAAACCAGTGATGGCCACACAGGGCGGCTTGGAAACTGGGACATGGGTGTACATCACAGAATACTACTGAGTCAATATGAAATTCCTTGGGGGTGCAAATAGTGTCCTGGTTATATGTGGGAGGATGGCCTTAGGAGATAGCAGTGAGACATTTAGCAAAGTATCGTGATGTCTACAGCTTACTTTCAAATGGCTCAGGAAGAAAAGCAGGGTACACACCCTGGTGTGCCCACAACATGGAGAGACATGAGTGAGACGAATGTGGCAAATTGTTAGCGAGCGGTGACTCTAGGGTCAGGTATTGGGATGTTCCCTGTACCAATCTTTCAGCTTTTCCATGGCTTTGACATTTGTCACAATAAAAAGGTGAGGAGAAAAAAAACCCCAACTTTGTTCCATCTGGAATCTATTTTGGTCTGGTTCTCTTGGCTTTGCCTGGCGCTCCTGGGTTACCGTCCTGGATTTCTGGCTTCTTTCCCCTTCTTTTCCAGCGTGCACAGTGGTCTATTTCCCTTTCTCTTAGGAACCTTTTTTTTTTGGCGGGTTATTCTTTTTTTGGAGTTGGAAATTTTTATGACCTCGTATCTTTCTGGCAGACTTACGTGGCTTTTCTAGAAGCAGGTAAGAAGCGGTGCACATTGGCGCTGGTATTCTTCTTTTGTTCCTACATTGCATCACGTGCTCCAGGTAAATTTGCAAGGAAGTTTAGTTCTCTGAGACCAAAAGCCTCAGTCCGTGAGAATACCCTCAAACTAGTATGTAGTGTCATTAACCTCTCCCTCTGCAAACCTTGATAGAAGCTTTTTCTTCTCAACTGAGAGTTTTTGCAAGAGGTCAGGCTCCACTTGCATTATGTAGATATGGTAAAAGACTCCTGCGTCTCATTTTATGAAATGTGATGGTCTTGGGGCGCCTGGGTGGCTCAGTCGTTAAGCGTCTGCCTTCGGCTCAGGTCATGATCCCAGGGTCCTGGGATCGAGCCCCGCATCGGGCTCCCTGCTCCGCGGGAAGCCTGCTTCTCCCTCTCCCACTCCCCCTGCTTGTGTTCCCTCTCTCGCTGCGTCTCTGTCAAATAAATAAATAAAATCTTTAAAAAGAAAAAAAAAAAAAAAAGAAATGTGATGGTCTTGGGTGGGTAGCTGGCCTGTAAAACCAGGAGCCTTTTTGCCAGGGGAGTGGTAACAAGCCAGTTTTGCTGGGAGCTTCTGCTCCCTGTCCGTGGCTTGGTGACTAATGGTTTCGTGGCTTTGGGAATGAGGGATGTCGTTACAGGCGGATGATGGGGATTTGGCTGCTGAACTGGATTATCTGGGTGTGCCTGGCCTGGGTGTTTATGCCTACACCCATTGGGAATGGGGACAGTTTCTCAGCCCCTGCTCGGGCCCCAGCAGCCTCTAGTCCATCTCGGTCCACTGTTCTGAGCTTCTCTGGTGGCCCTGGCCCTGAGCAGACCCTCTAGGTGACCGTGGCTGGATTCCTGCTGTGTTAGGTGCTGTGTTTTCCCTGACCATCCCTCACCTCTCCAGCCGCCACCACATTTGTCCTCAGGCAGGAGCTTTGTGGCCCCCATCCGGGAGTTCTCGTCTTCATGTTACCCCCCTTCCCCCACCCACCTCGAGCTAATGGAATAAATGCATATGGATTCTGGAGTTGTCTTTGTTTGAAACATTTTTGTTTTTGATTATCAGCTTGTTAAACATTTAGAGAGGGAGGAAACTGAGTCTTCACAGCCTCTTAGGGGGAGGTTTCCTCCTTCCTTGGATTATTTTTTTGTTCAGAGGTAGCTGGAGGGCAAGGAGAGGGGAGGCTACTGCTTGTGTCATAGAGAGCAGAAGCAGTTATCCAAACAAACAGTGTGGCTAATGGCACGTGTGGGTAGAATGGATCCTTGCAATTTGTAGCAATGGTATGCGTATGGTTTTGAGGTAAACAAACATGCCTATGTTTTATGCAAATTAACGCACACCTATATGTTGAAAGCTTACAGGAGAAAGGAGGCAGTAATCCTATAGCTTCTTCTTCTTTTTTTTTTTTTTAAAGATTTTTAAATTTTATTTATTTGAGAGAGAGAGCGAAAGAGAGAGCAAGCACACAGAGGGAGGGGAGGGGGAAATAGGCTCCCCGCTGAGCAGGGAGCCCCATGCAGGGCTCGATCCCAAGACCCTGGGATCATGACCTGATATGAAGGCAGATGCTTCACCGACTGAGCCACCCAGGTGCCCCCTAAAACTTATTTTCTTAAGGGTCTGTAGGAAGAATTTTCACCCAGGAGGCCATGCTTCGAGCCTCCCAGCCGGATCCCAAGGATAGTCATCCCCAGAGCTGGGCGGTAAGGACCTGCAGGCTCTGGAGGCCAGGAGGCGGCCAGCCTGCTGCCTCTGGGGGAACTGAGCCCTCGCCCCAGCAGGCGACCCCATTGATTTAATGACCTAATTCTCACAACAGGAAGTTGGAGGCCTTCCTGGCCCTGGGATTCTGAGGGGATGCAGTGAACCCATTCAGGAAGCTTATTTACTTGAACCAATTATAAGAGAACTTTAATGGAGGGAAGGGATGGAGGGAGAGCTGAGGCAAAGGAAGAAGAGCTGGAGAGGCCAGCGCAGGGAGGGGCGGGGAGGGCCGGGCTGGTGCCATGCTTTTTGGCCTGCCATTATGAGGGTGGCATGAACGCGTCCATAGGCTTCTGAGTGAAGGGACCTCATGCAGCTCCTGAGAAATAAATAGCACTGAATAAGTAGTCTTTCCCCTTCCTCTTTAGAAAAAAAATCTTTTAAATTTCTCAATTTAATTAAAAATGTTAAATGGTGACCTGCAGGAATTGACATAGCTGTGGGCTGTGGGGTTGACAGGACTTCCATGGGTTGAGATTACCATTCTCGCCTCCTTCTCTGGAGGTGACACAGGTCTGTGAAACCTCCTGGCCAGGCTCCTTCCCACCAGGCCTGCAGTGGACTTCAGCTTTCTCCCTCAGAACACTGACCAGCGATGCAAAGTGAGTTTTCCCTCGGTGGAGGGAAGCAGGGGCGTCAGCAAGCTGGGGGGCATCTCAGATGTCAATCTAGGTTACAGGAGAGAAAAAGGGTCCTTCTGTCATCAACTTGCACAGGGTGGCTTCGGACTCTGCCAGGTGCTCAGCCCATGGTGAGGGTCCTCCAGCCTGGGAGACCTCCTGCCCAGGACGGGGGACAGAGTGTGCTTGCACCCATTCGAGAGCAGAAGCTTCCAACTCCTCCATTCACTTATAAATAGACAAGGGCTCTGGAGTCTGCATTACCCACTCCCTGGAACCTGCCAGAGGCCGAGGGTCACGAATCAGACTGAATCAGAGGAAGATCCGGAGCCGCGTTTTGTAGGCGCGCTGGTTCCTGACTTCAGGTCTCCGGCTCTGGCTTGGCCGGGTTTCAGGGCTCCAGCCGTTCTCTGGGAAGAAAAAAGAATATTTTAAAATTAGGTCAAAAGATGCTTTTTTCCTTCTGTCCTCATTCCCCTGTTGTGCCGAGAGAACACCACCACCACCTGTGTGTCCCTTGGTCGGAACCACAGCCTCGAAACTTAGCCCGGGATCAGGAGTGTCCCCGTGCAGCTGGGGAAACTTCCTTCGGCCCCTCCGCATTCCCTTCCTGTTTGCATTGTTCTCAGCTGAACAGCAGGCCTGCCAGGTACTCTTTCTTAGCTGTAAAAAGAGGGGCTTCACGCCAATCAGGACTTGAAGAGACAGCAACATCCGAGTAACTTATTTTTATCAGTCAGGCAAAATCATAGGGAAAAAAATTTTTTAAGCCTGAAGTTCTAAACAGATGCCTTATATCAGTGCAACCACATCAACATTATATAGTCTATACATATAGGCCCCTTCTAGTCCTCGATGTCTCAGATTCCCTGTGGGGACAGCATTGGGGCTGGGGGCTCCTTTGTGGTTCCCAGGTGACTCTCTCAGGCTTCCCGAATCTGTTCATTCACATAACAGAGCCCCAGATGTGACTGGCGGCACTGTTCCCTACCCCCCGTCCAGTGTATCAGCTCCCTCTATGAGTAAGAGAAGAATTATATTTAATGAGATGTGTGGGTTCATTTTGATGTCTCTGAGAAAACGCTGCCTGGGGCCTGCCCGCAGATAGCTTGCAGGTTGAGGTGGGAGGAGATGTGCAGACACCCCAGGGTGGGGGCAGGGGGGGATGTCAGGCGTCTTGAGGCGGGAAATTTGGGCAGGTGTAAACCCAGGGCTCAGGGCAGCCCAGGGAAGGTGCTACCGAGCAGAGAACAGTAAGTAGGAAAGGGCATTCTGGGCCGAGGGACCTGCAGCTTGCTAAGGCCCAGAGGTGTTGAAGGAACCCCATGCAGCTGGTAACTCTGAGGTTACCAGAGGTAACTGAGGTAACTGAGGGAAACCACGGGCATCCCATGGCCTTCGGCAGCATCCCTGGCCCCTGCCCACTAGCATCCTCCCCATTACGACGACCAGAAATGTCTCAGACATCACCAGATGCCCCCGACTGAGCACCCCCGCTTCTCAGGGACGTGGTGGACAGCTGGTCCTACTACCTGTCCCTGCCCAAGGCAGGGTGTGGGGGGAGGCCCTTTCTTCTCGCATCCTGTCCAGCGTGCAGGTCCTGGGGAGCCCTCTCTGGGCAGATCTGTGCCTGTCCTGCAGCCCTTTGTTGTTATCATTTAAAGATTTATTATTTATTTTGGGGAGAGAGTAGGGGAGGAGCAGAGAGAGAGGGAGAGAGAATCTCCAGCAGACTCCTCACTGAGCGAGGAGCCCAACACGGGGCTCCATCCCTGGACCCTGAGCCAAAATCAAGTCAGCCTCTTAACTGACTGAGCTGCCCCCCACCCCCCACTCCCCCACCGTCAATGCTTCCAGGCGCCCCCTTCCCAGCCTAACCACGGTCTTCTCTGTGGCTGCCTTCCCCACGGTTGTCAGGACAGCTGGGCAGGGCGGCCACGCTCTGCTTGCTGTTGGGTTGTTTTGAATCGGGTCCCATGGATTTGATTTTAATGCTGCAAGAACCTTCACCCAAGGGCCTTCATCAGAGCGGTTCACTCCTGGAACAGGATGCACCTGCCGCATTGCCGTGAAGGAGAGGTTACAGCTCTGAGGTGGGAGGTGTTTGGCGGGGGGGAAAGCCCAAGAGTTTGGACTCACTCCTGTGCCCACGAACCTGCAGCCAGAGAGGAGCAGGGCTCATCTGTGTTCAGGCCTCAGAGCTGCTCCCCACTACGGCAGGGCCTTCAGGTTGTACTACACATAGCTCCTCGCACACACACCACCCCTCCCAACCCCAGAGCAAGGGCAGGCCTCTCCTACTGCCTTGCTTGACCATTTCCCAGTGGCTTTTCAGTGTTTTCCTGACTTTTCATCTTGATTTCAAATCTGCAGAAAAGTCGAAATAGTAGTGAACTCTGACCTTTACCTAGTGTCACCAGTGTTCACCTTTTGCCATAGTTGCTCACGCACCTTCTGTGCACGCTCACACGCACTTAGGCACACACATTTTTCCCCCCTGAACCATTTAGGAGTAAGCTGCAAGCATTGAGATGTTTCACCCTTACGTACTCCAGCCTGCATCGCTTAAGGGCCAGGGTATTTTCCAGAGCACCCAGGATAAAATCACATTCAACACACGCAACATTGATACAATACCATTATCTAATCAATACTCTCTAGTAAACCTTGCCTAATTGCCCAATAACGGCCTTTATGACTCCTTCCCCCTCTCTCTCCCCGGATCCCATCAAGGACCATTCACTGTGTTCAGTTGTTATGCTGTATTATCTTCTTTTCTGACTGGCAGGAGTTTGGGCCTCTGGCCTTTTTTTTTTTCCTCTGAAGTGGATTTTCATTTTCATTTCAGTTAAAATGGCTGACGCTTCTCTCAACTCCTGAGCCAGGAGGCGCTTGATAGGATGGAGGGAACTCATGCATTCAAATTCGGGCCCTGTCTCTTCTTAGCTCCTTGGCCTTGGGCAGGTTACTTAGCATCCCTGAGTCGCAGTTGTCTTATCTATCAAATGGGAGTAATTCTTACCTTGCAGGCTTGTTGCAAGGACTAAAATTAAACGAGACAAATGTGATGAATGTGACTGAAGGTGTGCCTGTCCCTTGGAGAACGCTCCGGCAACAGCAGTAATTATCATTGTTCTGCCATGTGGCCTGGCTTCATAGAACAGGAAGGAGCTTTGGATCAGGTTTGAACTTGGGTTGGCGACCTCAGGAGGAACTCCTTATCCCCAGCTCATCTCCGGAAGAATGATGCCACGTCCTGCAGACTCCCTGACTCACCAGAGCTGCCATTAGACCTGTTTTGCTCATGCTGGTGGAACATGGTTCGAGAATGCTGAGCCTGGCTCTGGATTGAGGAGGCTTCAATGTGGAATTTATTAATTAAGGCAGTTGCTCATGAGGCCCCAGAGTCCAGGAGGTTGCAGCTTAATTACCGAGAGCAGAGCTTGTGGAAATTCTCTCCAGTGCCCTAGTTTTGATGTCGCTGAGGGTCTGAGCTGCCGCCTGGTACGGAGCTGCAGACCGGGCTCGGGCCCGCCTCCCTCTCCTTGGCCCTGAGTGCTTTCTACCCATCTACACGTATCCTGGATAGCAGTGTCGCATAGTGGTTCAGAACTTGGACGATCTGGGTTTGAATCCCGCCTCAGTGCAGAGTAGGACAGACTGGCTGAGTGATCACTGGGTGATCTCTGCATCTCCGTGTCCTCATTTGTTGAACCTTAACAAGGATGTTTGCTCCGAAGCCTGAATGATTTATGTACCTGAAGGGGTGAGCACAGTACTTGGCCAATAGTTAGAATGTGTGTCAACTATTTCTTTAGAGGAGTTCTCAACCTGGGGTGATTTTGCCTCCCAGGGGACACAATGGCAACGTCTGGAGACATTTTTGGTTGTCACAACCAGGGAGGGGCTGCTCCTGGAGTCTAGCGGATAGAGCCCAGGGTTGCTGCTAAATATCCTACAATGCCCAGGACAGTCCTCACAACAAAGAATTCTAAATTCTCCATCGTGCCAAGGTTGGGAAACTCTGCTTTAAAGCACCCCCAGTGATTCAGGGCGGCATGTGGAACATGGAGGTGGGGTCCTGCCCTCCCCGCCGACCCCATAACTCTTCACCCCTGATCATTCCTTTGAGCCAGTTGGGGGCCGATGGGTGAACTGGAAGGGAAAAGGGAGGAAAGGAAGCTGGGTATGTTAAGCCTTTGAATTCTTACTGTTTAGTCTTATTCCCACCACCCCCCATTCTATAACAAAAATACCCCTTACTCGCGTTGCCTATTATCATCTTGTGATCTTATCATTAGAGTAACTAGTGTTTATTGAGCGTTTGCTGTGTGCCATATACTATGCCTAGTGCTCTCTGTTATCTTATTTTCACAGCCCTGATAGGCAGGTGCCATTATCATCCCCATTCTACAGATAAGGAAACTGAGGCTTATTGATGGGAAGGCTCTAAGCTGTCTGAAATTCAGCCCCTGGTCCTTTTCCAAAACTGTTCCACCTGCATCTCTCCCATCTTGGTTGATAGGAATGCTGCCTTCAGTTGCTCAGCCCCCAGAACTGGGGGTCCCCATCCCATGTACCTGCCCCCACTGCGTGCGGCACCCACTGGCCCTCCTGATGTCCCGTCCACTCCTTTTGCCTGGATTCCCACCACGGCCCCCCCCCCCCGCTTCTGTTCTCAGCCCCCCACCTCCTCTCTGTGTCTGAGTCAGGGTGGACCTGCCAACACCCAAGTCAGGCCAGGCTACACCTCTGCTTGCTGCCCCTTCTTACAGGTCCAGGTCAGGTTTCCCAGAGGCCTCAGTGCCCTGGGCCCCTTGTCCCCATGCGCGTTCCCTTCCTGTGGCCTTTCTTGCTCTTCCTCCAGCGCACCCCACCCTGGGGCCTCCGTCCAGCTCTGCTCTGGGTTCCCACGGCTCACTCCGTCACCCCGTTCCAGTCTTTGCTCAGGAAGGCCCACCCGGCCACCGCACGTTCCTGATCCCCTCACCCAGCTCGGTTTTTATCCTAGCACTTCTTGGTCACCTTCTTCCATCCACACTATATTATTTCCCATTGGTTGATTTTTATTTTGTTTTGTCTGCTCTCCCCTCTCACCAGAGTATGTAGGGACTTTTGACTGTTTTTTCACTGATATATCCCAATACGTAGTAGGTGCTGAATACATTTGTTGATTGAATGACTTCCCCATGGCCACCTGGCTGGTAATGGGGTCACCAGGATGCCACATCTTCACCTTCATGCGTGTTGCTCCGTCCTCCCCACCCCGTCCAGGGCAGCATCTCCCAGATCTGGCTGCTCACCACGTTTTGACTCTGTCTCCAGAACACTTTGCAGATGTCCACTGTAGGAACGACTTTATCTGAAGGGGTTCTGCCCTACTTGCCAGCCCCTGTGGGCTTCTCCGTGGCCTGTGGAGTCCAGCCCTAGCTCTTCAGCCTGTCCTCAGGGCCCTTACCAGCAGGCCTTCTATGCCCCTGACTTCAGCCGCCGTGCCAGTCCACGCTCTTACCCAGCTCCCATCCTGCCCTCCCACCTGCCAGCGTGCCCCCACCCTTCCCCTCACCGTCCCTTCCCTGTCACCCCCCAGCGCAGGCCCTGGCTCCCTCCTGGTCCGGCAGGAGCCCCCCCTCCAGATCTGCCCCAGAGTCTTTCCCACTGCTGCCACAGTGGCCTTGTGAAGCTCAGACCTTACCTGAGGACCCCCTGCTTCAGCGCCTCTCCTCACCCCTCCTGAGACCCCTGGGGCCCAGTACCAGCTCACCTTGACACCTCTCACCCGACACCTTCTTCTTCCTCTAGGTTTTCCAAAGACTAAATCTTCTCTGGATGCCTCCCCGCAGGGCTGGGTCAGACTCCCAGCTGCGTGTCCTCGGGGCACCGCGCACTTACCCTTTGTGTCTGCACTTATCCCAGTGTCTGTGGGTGCGCCTACCTGGGTGTGACTCGCCCGGAGCCCCTCATCACAGGCAGACCACGGCTGTTTTGCTCAGCTGTCTATCTTCGAGGCCTAGCACAGGGCCTGGCATGCAATAGACGCTCAGTAATCGTTCAGACAACATCCCAGTGCCTCCAGTGCCCTTCTCCTTCCTCTCTGCCAGCAAACTCCTATTCATCCTTTGAGACCTAGCTCCAGTTTCCTCTCCCCGGAGCTCCTCTGCGTTCTCGCAGAGCTTCGCACATTCCTTACTCTGCCACTTACTCCCCTGGGCGCAGGCCCCGGCCTTTCCCTGCTGCTACGGAGCTGCTCGGGGGCGGGGGGCCGGCGCGATACGCGCATCTGACACTCTGGTGGTGTTTGTGTCTCAGCCCGACCTACGTCCTTGGCTCGTCGTTGCTGTTTGTGTTGTTTCCCGTTTGCTTTGTGTAGTATGATTTCCTCAGCATCATGGTCGCTTCCTGGAAGGAGGTGTCACAGCCCCACCTTTGTATCTCCTGTTCCCTGAGCCTGACACAGGGCTGGGTACCCCAAGAAAGGTTTTAGTGAATCCTTCTTGAGTCAGTGTCACGTCTACTTCAGGTTCCAGGGCCCGTGGCAGCTTGAGAGGCACCTTGACACTCTTTTTCTCATTCTGGACCAGCTTTATAATTTGCGGGGCCCCGCGCAGGGCCCCTTGTTCAAAAATGATGAAGCGTTTCAAGACTGTGATAGTAGAGCTCTAAACCAAGGATGGGGCCTTCTAGGCCTCAGCTCATGAAGCCTGCCCTGATCTCATTGTATCCAATGAGGGAAGACATGGTAGAGGTCATGATTTCCTTTTTACAGAGGGCAAAATGAAGGGCCCAAAGGGCAGTGACCAACCTCAGGGTGCACAGCTGATCGGCAACAAAGCAGAACTGAAAACATGCCAGCTCCTGGAGCATGCTTACTGCCTTCCACTGGCTCAGGGGCCCCCAGGACTTCTGAGCCTCAGTTTTCTCTGTAAAATGGGGACATTGACCTGGTCATAAAATGGCAACTAGAACAGCTGGTCGCAAATCCCCGGACAGTCCCATCAGGAACAGCACTGCAGCCTTTGGATGCCTTCCCCTTAAAGTCACTAATGCAAAGGTACTCTCTGCTTCTTGGAAGGACCTGAGTCCTGTAGACAGTAGGAGGCTAATTGGCTGTTGCGGTAGCTGAAGAAATTAAAGCCCTCAGAGGTGGGAGAAGGCTGTCTCTTCTCATCTCTTTTTGAAGGAATGTGGGGACTTGGGTGGAAGTTTCCCCAGGGAGCCTTGGTATTTTGGTGCTTTGATATCTACAGGAATAAAAGAGCAATTAATCGCTAAAGATGCTTGTTCCCGTAGGGATGGCTGTTCCCGCAGTCTGAAGGTGGAGGGAGTGTCCCCATAGGGGCAGTCTGAGGGCAGAGGGAGTGGCAGGGGTGGGTGACAGTTCCTCCATCCGAGGGCCCTTGTTGCTTGAAGAGATACTCAGACCAGAGCCCCAGAGGGTTCGAGCTTTTGAAATCTCACTTTCTCCGGGAAACCCATTTTCTTTAGGGCCCCGCCCCGACCGCGAGTGAGCGTCTTTCGTTGCCGAAAGACAGTGGAAGAGGGGTTTCCCAGCTGTCCTTGGTCCTGCATCTCCCGCAGAACAGGTTTCTCAAAGTGTCATCCTTAGACCTCTGTCCTCACAGCAGGGCTGAGAGTTGGGAGTCCCCCTGTTGGAACCAGGGGCTCCGAGATCAGTGCACACAGCGGAGGAGGTGGCCGGGCTGGTGCGGTGGGCACCGCTCCCTGGTGCCCCCCACCTGCCTCCGCCTGTGCTCCTGCCAGAGTAACCTGCACGGGACCTCAATGATGAGGCTGGGCGGCAGGGGTGAAAGAGAAGACGGTGTTCTTTGATCCCTGCAAGAGTTGTGTTAGGGGCCGGGAGACATGCGGGCAGGCCGGTAGGTTGTAAATGACCTGCAGCTGTGTTTTATGTGCATGGGGGGCGGTTAGTTTATGCTTACACGTCCAGCTACAGATGTTCACTAGGCACAGGACCGTCAGAAACGCACGTCTGAGCGCAGAGCAGGTGGAGAACCGCGGTGCCCGTGCACGTGCCCGGCTCAGGTTCTGTGTGGTGGCTGGGACGCCTTCTTGTGCAGGTGCAGGACCTGCCCGTCAGCTGCCTGGAGTGACTCACCTCTGGGGCTGCGTCTCCGAGCGCAGCTCTCAGTTGGACTTGGTGACTAAGCCGAGGCAGGAGGGGGTGTGGTGACCTGCTTCAGCTGGAAGTGGCAGGTGAGCATAGCTGCAGTCCGCGCCTGATCCCAGAGGTGTTGGTGCAGGTTCCCTGGGCTGGCCAGACACACAGGTATTTCCGGATCGTGGCAGAGCCTGCTGCCAGGATCTTCCCGCCAGTGTGGTGGGTCCATGGGCGTGGGGCGGGAGCTCCAGCTTCGACTCCGGCAGCCCCGTGGGCCCTCCCGGCTCCTCCCATGACCCGTGTTCTGTGTTTCCGCAGGGCCCCACCTTCCTATTTCTCCCCGGCCACAGCCCGTCCATCACAGTTGAGCAGCTGTTTGCCTGAAGTTAATTTCCAGAGGCAGGTAAGGACCCCAGGGGAAGGACTTCTGGTGGCAGGCCACAGGGCAGTGCTGGGGAGCGGCTCTTGGGTCTGGGCTGCGGGGCTCGAGTGGAAGGGAGCTCCTCTCGCTTCCTTCTTCCACCAAGCCCGCTCCTGCTCATTTCTTCTGCCGCTGTGGGCCCTTCTCGTCAGTGCCGTGGCGCGGCTCATTTCTTTTAGGCTGAGATGTGTGCAGTCTCTGGACTAATATTTTGTGTCAGTTCTGTGAATCACAATTATATGATGTTGTTTTACATTGCATACATGTAAATGTACCTTTTTTAATGTGAGCATTTAAAATATATCACAACTTTTTAAAAAAATGGATAGGACAAAAGCCAAGTGCTGGGACCCCTGGAGCAGAGGTGGATTGTGTGTGTCAAGGACGCTCTGGCTGCCTGGCCCCAGCCTGAGGTGACTCACTGTTTTCCAAGCAGGTGTAAGACCACCCCGGGTATAAATGTAAATTCCAGTTTTATAAATGTGGGTATTCAGACAGCATGAGCTTCAAGTTTATAAATAAGAATGCGTGCAGGTGGCTGTGTTTGTATTCGGGGCCACTTATGCCTGTCCAGAGGAGGCCAGCTTTCAAAGCTGTTTATCAGAATGGGCCTGATTGCCGCAGGGGACACTCGGCGGTCCAGCTCTGGGGTTCCTCCTGCGCCACGGTTCTTCTGAAGTGACAGCCACTGCTTCAAAGCTGGAGACTGAGTTCTGGGAGAGGCTAGGTCCCGGCAGGGCAGGGCAGGAGCATGCTCTCTCGCCTGTGGCCTGGTGTCTCCCACGGAACGCAGTGTGGCCTCTGAGGCCATGGGCCACTTTGTCACTTAGGATTCCTCCTAGTGGTTGGGATCCCCATCCCAGTCAACCTTCCTCCCACAGAGATGCGGGCTCAGAACCAACAGGAACATAGCGGGTGTGGTAGGGAGTGTGTCTCTGTGTGTGCACTGAATGTATGTTCCTTGGTTTCCCTTAATTGCATTTGTCCCATTTGCAGATGTAAGTTTCTGGACTCCTCCCCACTTTTTGCATAACACGTGGCTATCTACAGCAGCATCTGTAGCCATGGGCCCCTGCCCTCACCATTCATTTGGGTAGTTGATGGTTTCCTGTTTCTCTCTGTTTTCATTTTCTGGCTCATCTACATTTTTCCCTAGTTAGCTCCCACAGTGGTAGCGAGGAGAGGGAGCAGGTCTGTCTCTGACTTGGGCCGTGAACACCGAGACATTTTCTCAGGGCTTAGAATGGAAGTGCCGCCACTGTAGATGATGGGATGTTTCTGGAGCAGCTGGGAGACCATAACTGAGAAGCACTGTTATCTTTGCCTCTCACGGCTCAAGACTATACAACTACTGTGTCCAAATTACTTGCAGTTTGGACTTAGGTGATTCAGACACATCTCACTGGAGCCCAGTTCTTCATCCAATACGGATTTTCAAATGAAGTTAATCTGATACTTGTCAGAATGGTGATGAAAATTTAATAGCATGTTTGCTGGGATAGGCACCAAACCCAAACATGCTTTAATAGACTGGTAGCATATCAGCGACTGCAATGTCTATGTTGTTTGGGTTGACCATGGTTTACTCTCTTCAGTTATTAATTTTCTTCACATCGACCCCCCGATGCAGATTCTGTTTAGGACAGAACCATGTAAACCAGCCATGATGTCCTCCTCTCTTGGGTGGGCACATGCACTCATGGCCCCTACATTCTGCCCCAGATCCAGCCCTGAGTGTTTCCCCTTGTCAGGCAGCAGGGCAGAAGCAGCTTGAAGTAGAGCCCAAAGAATACTAGAGAACCAGAAGTTTTAGAAATGATGAGTCTGCCTCAAAGCAAGACTGTCTCTGCCAAGGAAGCTGAGGTGGGAGTAACCTGGCCCCAAAGATCCATTCAGGCCCCATGACACCCTAGGCCCATGGCTGGGTGGCGAACCCCTCCCCCTTCAGTAATGACAGTTTGAGTGTGGGGGTTCCCCCCGGACGGTAAGGCTTGAGTGGAAGACAATGGAATGACATCCATTTGTACAGGATGCCAGGATTGTTGGACAGAGCAAAATTCTGTAAAAATGGACCATGTAAAATGATTCACACACACTCAGGCTCATGGTCACACTCACACACTTCTGCAGGTTCCGAGCCTACCTCTCTATTGGAGGAAGCTTGGCTGGTCAGGAAAGGACAGTGAGGAAGGTGTCCCCAACCACGGGGAAGCCAGGACCCCTAGGTCCTGGGATGTGCAGCAAAACCAGATATGTATTCTTGCCTGAGTAGGGCCGGCCCCTGAATGAAGAACAGATCTTGCTGTGGGACTGGGGTGTGGTTTGTGACATAGGATGAGAGTAAGGGCTTGAACCAGATGGGCCTGTTGGGGAGTTGGGGTGGGGGCAGGCGGAGAAGCTTGCTGGAACTCTGGTTCTTTTGTGTGTGGTGACACCTAGTGGCCGGGCAGCGGTCTTCAGTGCTGCCTTTCACAGAGAGAGCAAACTGACCATTAGCCCTTGGATACAGGACGGGGGTGGAAGATTTTTACTCCCCGAAGCCCTGACTCCCAGTTTGAAGGCTTTGTGGAGTGTTTCAGAAGTCCTCTGGAGAACAGGATAGCCCAAGGCACTCCAGTTGCTCGAATGGGAGCCCTTTGTCAAGACTCGGTTGGGTTATGGAGACTAGGTACTCTGGTCAGTGTCAACATGGTGACATTTGGCCCTAAATCAACATGGATATTGTAGAGAGGGAGAAGCTTAGA